AGCAGCAGCATTAGTAACAGTAGCAGCAGCATTAGTAACAGTAAGAGAAGCAGCATTAGTAACAGTGAAAGCAGCAGCATTAATAACAGTAAGAGCAGCAGCATTAGGAACAGTAAGAGAAGCAGCATTAGTAACAGTAGCAGCAGCATTAGTAACAGTAGCAGCAGCAGCATTAGGAACAGTAAAAGCAGCAGCATTAGTAACAGTAGCAGCAGCATTAGTAACAGTAAGAGAAGCAGCATTAGTAACAGTGAAAGCAGCAGCAGCAATAACAGTAAGAGCAGCAGCATTAGGAACAGTAAGAGAAGCAGCATTAGTAACAGTAGCAGCAGCATTAGTAACAGTAGCAGCAGCATTAGTAACAGTAAGAGCAGCAGCATTAGTAACAGTAGCAGCAGCATTAGTAACAGTAAGAGCAGCAGCATTAGTAACAGTAAGAGCAGCAGCATTAGTAACAGTAGCAGCAGCATTAGTAACAGTAAGAGAGGCAGCATTAGTAACAGTGAAAGCAGCAGCATTAGTAACAGTAAGAGCAGCAGCATTAGTAACAGTAAGAGCAGCAGCATTAGTAACAGTAAGAGCAGCAGCATTAGTAACAGTAAGAGCAGCAGCATTAGTAACAGTGAAAGCAGCAGCATTAGTAACAGTAAGAGCAGCAGCATTAGTAACAGTAAGAGCAGCAGCATTAGTAACAGTAAGAGCAGCAGCATTAGTAACAGTGAAAGCAGCAGCATTAGTAACAGTAGCAGCAGCATTAGTAACAGTAAGACCAGCAGCATTAGTAACAGTAAGAGCAGCAGCATTAGTAACAGTAGCAGCAGCATTAGTAACAGTAAGAGAAGCAGCATTAGTAACAGTAAGAGCAGCAGCATTAGTAACAGTAAGAGCAGCAGCATTAGTAACAGTAAGAGCAGCAGCATTAGTAACAGTAAGAGCAGCAGCATTAGTAACAGTAAGAGAAGCAGCATTAGTAACAGTAGCAGCAGCATTAGTAACAGTAAGACCAGCAGCATTAGTAACAGTAGCAGCAGCATTAGTAACAGTAAGAGCAGCAGCATTAGTAACAGTAGCAGCAGCATTAGTAACAGTAAGAGCAGCAGCATTAGTAACAGTAAGAGCAGCAGCATTAGTAACAGTAGCAGCAGCATTAGTAACAGTAAGAGAGGCAGCATTAGTAACAGTGAAAGCAGCAGCATTAGTAACAGTAAGAGCAGCAGCATTAGTAACAGTAAGAGCAGCAACATTAGTAACAGTAAGAGCAGCAGCATTAGTAACAGTAAGAGCAGCAGCATTAGTAACAGTGAAAGCAGCAGCATTAGTAACAGTAAGAGCAGCAGCATTAGTAACAGTAAGAGCAGCAGCATTAGTAACAGTAAGAGCAGCAGCATTAGTAACAGTAAGAGCAGCAGCATTAGTAACAGTGAAAGCAGCAGCATTAGTAACAGTAGCAGCAGCATTAGTAACAGTAAGACCAGCAGCATTAGTAACAGTAAGAGCAGCAGCATTAGTAACAGTAAGAGCAGCAGCATTAGTAACAGTAAGAGAAGCAGCATTAGTAACAGTAAGAGCAGCAGCATTAGTAACAGTAAGAGCAGCAGCATTAGTAACAGTAAGAGAAGCAGCATTAGTAACAGTAGCAGCAGCATTAGTAACAGTAAGACCAGCAGCATTAGTAACAGTAAGAGCAGCAGCATTAGTAACAGTAAGAGCAGCAGCATTAGTAACAGTAAGAGCAGCAGCATTAGTAACAGTAAGAGAAGCAGCATTAGTAACAGTAGCAGCAGCATTAGTAACAGTAAGAGAGGCAGCATTAGTAACAGTAAGAGCAGCAGCATTAGTAACAGTAAGAGCAGCAGCATTAGTAACAGTAAGAGCAGCAGCATTAGTAACAGTAAGAGCAGCAGCATTAGTAACAGTAAGAGCAGCAGCATTAGTAACAGTGAAAGCAGCAGCATTAGTGACAGTAAGAGCAGCAGCATTAGTAACAGTAAGAGCAGCAGCATTAGTAACAGTAAGAGCAGCAGCATTAGTAACAGTAAGAGCAGCAGCATTAGTAACAGTGAAAGCAGCAGCATTAGTAACAGTAGCAGCAGCATTAGTAACAGTGAAAGCAGCAGCATTAGTAACAGTAAGAGCAGCAGCATTAGTAACAGTAAGAGAAGCAGCATTAGTAACAGTAGCAGCAGCATTAGTAACAGTAAGACCAGCAGCATTAGTAACAGTAAGAGCAGCAGCATTAGTAACAGTAAGAGCAGCAGCATTAGTAACAGTAAGAGCAGCAGCATTAGTAACAGTAAGAGCAGCAGCATTAGTAACAGTAAGAGCAGCAGCATTAGTAAGAGTAAGAGCAGCAGCATTAGTAACAGAAAGAGCAGCAGCATTAGTAACAGTAAGAGCAGCAGCATTAGTAAGAGTAAGAGCATTAGTAAGAGTAGCAGCATTAGTAAGAGTAGCAGCATTAGTAAGAGTAGTATCTACCGGTAGGAATGGTCTGGCTCTTGACATCAACAAAGAGTTAGAAGGATCATCATAACCATCATCACGATTCTTATTCTTGTTGTTGTTATTGTTGTTCAACATGTCCCATCCTAATAAAGGTATATACCACTATAAATGTCGATATGATACTTACTATTTCGTTTATCATTATTATCCTTCAATAATGGATAATCTATGTTGGGTAATACAACATGCATTTGTCTAGGACCTCGAGGATTATTAGTGAATAATGTATTGGTATAGAAAACCCCTCCAATCTCAATCTTATCACCTTTACCTACAAAACCTAATGGGCTAACGATGATACGTGATGATGATGATGATGATGATGATGTTGATGATAACTATCACATTAATATTACCCAATATATATTGAGGACTTGCAGCCTCCTCCTTTTCTTCTTGTTGTTGATGAGTTTCATTATTATTATTATCGTGGATACCGGTAGAGTATCTATAGATAAGCATAAGAATAGAGTATGTATACATATATGATGATGATAGTAATATTATTATTACATTGTAAACTCTGTACCCATGAAATTACTTCTAACCTTTCCAATGTAATGAGGGACCTTATAATGAACATATCATGATATTAATTCTTCAATTGTTGTCGTTATTATTATTACACTACGTGACATCTCATCGAAGGTAGAACATGCATTAATTTGATAATTAGATGTCTTGTTCTTCTTCCTTTTCTTACTACACATTATACATTCACTATCACCATCGAGTACCAACTGATATCTAGGATACCATGACCCAAGCAATGATGATGATGACGACGATGACCTACGATAACGACGATCACTGCATGATAATAATAATCATTCTTATATGTTAATAATTACTACTACCTCCGATTTCTTAGAATACGACATTGTACAATAACCCCCTCAGGTGGAGGCCTCATAACTATCTTCATCTTCATGTCTCTCAATGATGAAGTATATGGTGGCAGTAAGGTGGTGCTTGTCGAGGAAGAATCACAAGGAAAAGGAGGCGAACCACCAGATTGGCAAATATTATTATAGCAAGACGACACGAGCTGAAGAGATGCCCTACTAGTATATGTTATACTGTGATGACTACTATTATTACTACTACCTCTTCTAATCTTCTAATAACAGTCACACGCTTGTCCTTCTGCTGCTGCTGCTGCTGCTGCTGTGGCTGACCATTATTATCATCATTCTGTGTAGTATTGTTCTTGGTAGTAGGAAGGTTTCTCTTTCCTGTTTCTTTGGTTGTTGTTAATGATGGTGGTGGTAAAGGGTCGAATATAGGTATGATACCAGCTTGCTGACAATACATGATAATGAGTAATAGGATACTATATATATTACAAACTACTACTTTTAACTTATCCCTTATATTACTAGTATTATGATTATAGTCATTCATATTACTATCATCATCAGATTGATGACAGAACGGATTATCATCATGTTGACCTGAAAGTAGTATGTATAGAAGATAGTAGGTATAGAGTGAGAGAGTACTCCTACTCTTCATTAATGAGATATCCTCCTCTACTACTACTCCATTAACTGTAGCATAATCATGTTCTTGTTGTTGTTGATATGGAGAAGTCGATAAACTCTGATATATGGTAGACATACACTACTAGTAGTGGTATCGTTATATCTCCTACTGATGATGATGATAATAATAACGACTTGTAAACTTGCTGCTGCTGTTGCTGCTGTTGCTGTCGCCGTCGTTGGGTATGAATTGCGAATCTATCCTGAGTATGAACGACATGAGCTATCTGTCCCTTATGATACCACTCCATTCTACTCTTAGTTGTTCATGTTGTTGTTCATGTTGTTGTTCATGTTGTTGTTCATAATGTATAATACTCTCAAAAGAATCAAGACTTGACTCTTCCTCCTGGGGTCCTTGAGTGGGATCTTGTATCGACCTATAATGTATAATTATGACCACATATGGCAACATCTAGTGCACCATGGGAGAAGGGTTTTAGGATGATGATAAGGGATCGTAGGTGGTTGGTTATGATCATGATTATCCTCCTTATTAGAGGAGGATATCTCATGGTCATCGTCATCATGCTGCTGTTGCTGGTGGTCGTCATGGAAAAAATTGGAGGATAGTAACATCTTGAGGATGATGGATATCAAACACGGCAGTTAAGGGCATTATAGTAACCAACATAACAACAACAACTAGTAGCAGGACCAGCAGCAACAGATATGTGAGATAGTAGTGGATGGATTCCATTCTCTATTGTGATGATGTCTATGGATCCAAGTACATAGCCGGTCATAACTAGTAGTCCTACTACTTTATCCCTTATAGTATGTCTCCTTATGGTTAATGTTAAGGTATATCATCAACAGCTTACATATCAGCCTTACATAATCGTTTATCATACTTCATTACGCTATACTCATATCTTTGGTCGTAGTCGTCGTCGTCAAACGCCCGACCGTTTTCTTCTATACTATCTCGTAGCAGCATGATCAACAACAGCAAGATTAAGGTTTGATTAAGTAGTAGGTTGGTAATACTTAATCATCGTAGCACTATTATAATCACCACGCAACTCGATCAAACGCCACGCAACGGTGAGGGGGGGCGAGAGCGAATCTCGCGCTGATGCAAGATGCGCACGCCATAAAAACTATCTGTCAGTCAGGATGGCTAGTGGTATGAGAATAGTATGAATTGAATGTAGTTAGATGGTAGTTGTTGATAAGTTAGGATATAATAGTATAATTATCATCATTAGCACACTATATTAGTGAGAAGTAACTAGTGATGTACCACAGTTGTTGGTATATATCTTCATGAATACTTCTCAAGAGGGACGAGGAGGAGAAGCCTTTGCTGGTCCACCTGTTGTATCAACAACAACAACACCTTGGTCTCGTACTAATGATAATATAATATTAAAACTATCACCACAAGAGTCTACCTATTATTCAACAGTATGGCAGTTAGCTGGACCTGATATGGGTGATTATATATCTGGTGAGCATCATCAGCATCAGCATCAGCAGGTCTACAACATCACCAAGAATGATAAAGTAGTATTATCATTATTCATTTATGCTATTATAGGTCCTAAAGCGGCATCTGTATTACAATTATCGGGATTGTCTAGGAATATACTTCATCAAATATGGGCTATAGCAGATAGAGAACAAGAAGGGAAGTTAGATGAGAATGGTAGTAGATTAATTATTATACATCAGCTTTATGATGATGATTATCATGGTGTCAGAGTTTAATATGGTATGCCGATTAATAGCCCATATGCAGTCAGGAGCATCCTCAGTAGATCCATCACTACTTAATCTAGAACCAGCTAGTCTACCTATATTTGATGGTAATAATAATATGATAATAATCATCAAGAATGGTATAATATGGTAGTAGGTCTATTCAATAACAACAATATATCAACAAAACCTAAGCAGACTGTAGCGGAGAAGTACCCAACCCAATCCTCAACAACAAGAAGAAGTCCTCATTTGGGTAATACTTGTACTATCAGGATGTATAGTAGTAGTAGTAGTAGTAGTAGTAGTAGTAGTAGTAGTAGTAGTAGTAGTAGTAGTAGTAGTAGTAGTAGTATGATTATGGATAAGGTACTACTACTACTACTGAGATGCGACCTAAGGATGCAGCCAAGTTGGCTATGTCTATGAAGGATCTTGGTATTGATCCATTAGACTTTGTACCAAGGACAGAACAACTGAGTGATAATAATAATGAAGAGGAGGAGGAGGGGGAGAAGGATAGTAATAGTTGTATAGCAATGGTTGGTGAGCTCATACAATTCGTCTTAGGTAATAATAATAATAAGAAGAAGTATAAGGATAAATGGGCACTTACTGATGAGGAAAAGCAGAAGTAATAGTCAGTAATAATTGTTAGAAATGTGGTATGAATAAGAATAGATACTCATCATTATTTATGGCATCTGATCCAAAAAGAAGTGGTTATATAACGGGTAAGATTGGTAAAGGTATATTCGAGAAAAGTAAGCTAAGTAAAGAAATGTTAAGCTTGTTATGGGAACTGGCTGATCAAGTAATATTATCTATTAACAACAACTACAACGATGATGATGATGATGTCTTAGGATAAGGATGGTAAACTGAATCTTAATGAGTTTATAGTAGCCATGCAGTTGATAAGTAAATGCAAGACTAAGGGTAGTAGTAGTATCATTATTATGTTACTAATGTATATATGTATAGGTTATGCTATACCAGCGATCTTACCTAAGTCGTTACAGGAAGTTATTGGAGAATCAATACCAATAAGATCCCTCATTGACAACTTGGATAATCATAAGCAGCAACAACAAGAAGAACAACAGTTAGAGGAGCATGAAGGATCTTCTCCCATGTTTGGTGATAAGAAAGAGTAATATCATCATCA